ATTTGCCATGATGTATTTAGAAAATTATGGTCTAGTACTAACTACTAACGATGGCAAATGATGAAAAAATTAACAAAAGTATAAATAAAATTATTATAAAATAACTGTTGAGATTTTTTAACAGTTATAGCAAAGATATTTCTAATGGTTAGAAGCTATGTTGTTACAACCGGACCGGAGGGCAATTCGGAAGAATGACCGGGACTAGGGTCAGCCCGGTCAACTAGCGAAAAACCCGGTCAACCTATGTTTAAATTAAATATAAAATAGGTATAATTTTATATTATACTATAAATGTGAAATATATTAGAATATACTGTAGAATATGATTTAGAATATTTTAGGAATAAATTCTAGGATATTATTGTATAGAATCTTATAGGAATATTCTATCTTTGTAATGTATATTTATAGGGACTTGATCGTTCAATAAAATACACAGAAAATCCTCTCCTTTTCAATATTATTTCTTACTTCATATGATCTATATCAACATGGTATAAGAGACACCCATTTTAGTTTAGTTTTTCAGATTTCAGTTTAGTGTTCAGACTGCATTCTTTCTTCAAGAACCTGGGTTCAATTTTCAAATTCTTCAGAACCTCTAGGCACCATTCCATCTACAAGAACCTCTCTTCTGATCCTTTCAGAAACTCCTACAGGTCCAACCACATTCCAGGTGAGTTTCAGACAATTACCTCTATCATAGTCTGGTGCGCCTGCCATCGACGCCCAGCTGTTCAAAGTCCGCAGTTCCAAATCAACACCCGTGAGCCATACGCGCCTCCGGAAGCACTCACAGCCGGTGTCCATAGACGACCTCTGTCCGTACTACGTACCACGGGAAGATTGATTATTATTTTTCTACAGAATTTTCTGTCCACAAACGGGAACGGCTGAAGTATTCACTCAATACCTCAATTTTGAACTTAGTTGCTATCTTAAAAATATGGTTTGTACGGCTGAGTTTGGCAAAAGAGTGACATGCAATTACTATAAGAAGCCTGCTATGAAGCACAGAAACTCTCCACGGCTCACGTTTCCACGTTTCAGAAACTTGGAAGCGTTTCGGAAACTTGGAAACTTCAAATTCCCGTTTTGGGGCCGTTTCCGTAATTAAGAAAAATTTGGAAACCCGTTTCACTACGTTTCGGAAGCCTCGGATTCCAATTTTTTTTCTTTTTTAAAGATTCTGTGGTGGAAAATAGTTTTTTTTAATAGTGAATTTTTGTGGTATTTCTCAGCAGCAACATTTATTACATTTCGTAACGCAATGTATTGCTAGAAATGTATTACTCCGTACATTTTATGTTTAATTATGTACTAATATAAAATAATATCTAAATTCGAACATGTAGAGTGATTTTATTATTTGGTTACTAAACAAATTATATGAAAAAAACATGTGCATATGGAAAAACTTGTGTACATATATTAAAAAATATTTATAAATATATCCTTATATTTTATAATATTTACGCGTTTCCCCCACATTTCGTATCCTATATTTTTTTAGAAATTATGTTTCTCGCGTTTCCCGTTTCGCGTTTCCGTGCTACTTAGGAAGCCTAGACACTTGATCAAGGAATGTAGAAAACTGACATTTTTTAAAAATTAAGGACATTTGATTGGTGATGTTGCTTCCGCTACCGATTCATCTCATGGATCAATAATACTTTCTTCGGATGAGTATGCCAAATTTCTTTGCTACCAAGATTCTCTAAAGAATTCCTCTATTCCTATCTTAGTTGTAGCTAATTCAGGTATTTCAAACACATGTCTAGCCTTTTCATCCTCGAAATGGGTCATTGACTCGGGTGCAACAGACCATATGACCAGTAATCCTAATTTTTTCTCATCATTTCATTCATATTAAAAAAAACTTCTAGTGTCACTTTAGCCGATGGGTCTACCTCATCAATACTCGAATATAGTCCTCGAATCTGGTACTATTGTCCAACTTCTACATTACCAGTACCACCTGTTTTGTGTCTTCATAATTTTGCATTACCATTAACACCTGTTTTGAGTCTTCTACCTCACCAGTCCTCGGATCTGGTACTATTTTGAGTCCTCGGATCTGCGTTCTATCAGTAAAATCTCATGTACCCTTAATTGCTCTATAAAATTTTCCTGGATATTATGTGTTTCAGGATCGGTTAACGAAGCAGACTATTGGTAAAGGACATGAGTAGGCTGGTCTTTATATTATGGATGCATCAATAACAAAAAGTATATTTTGTCTCAAGGTTGAAACTTTATTAGATGCTCCTTACCGACTAGGACACTCATCTCTCCCACTAATGAAATATATATATCCTTAGTTTAATAAGGTGTCATCTTTATTCATGTGAGTCGTGTGAATTTGCATAACATCATCATACTAGTTTAAGTCCTCGACTTAATAAACGAGCAAACACTCCTTTTGATCTTGTCCATACAGATGTTTGGGGGGCATGTCCTCTTGCATCCAAATCAGGTTTCAAATATTTTGTTACATTTGTTGACAATTATTCTCGTATGACATGGTTATATTTTACTTATATTGATGTCACATTTCATGAAAATACACCCTTTTCATCATTCGAGACGGATATTCATGAGGACAATGATGAAATACTCATTTACATATTTACTATACCCGAGTCCACACCTTCAATAATTATACCAAATGTTAGTGTTCCTGACCCAGGCCTCCAGTACACTTGTTCACACCCGTCGAAACAAAGCGTCACCTTCCACTTGTGATTACTTATCCTGATCCTAGCCTAGCTTTGATCTCATGTCTTGACCTAATACGTGCTTCTTCAGATCCTGTCTCTACATCAGATATTGACATCCCGATAGCACTACACTAAGTAGCACGGAATCGGAAAATGCAAGACACTTAATTTTTAAAAAAATTTATGATACGAAACGTGTGAAAAACGCGTAAATGTTAAAAATACAAGGATATATGTATAAATATTTTTTCATATATGCACATAATTTTTCCATGTAATTTGTTTAATGACGAATAATAAAAACATTCCATATGTTCAGTTTTTAAATCACAACTTTAAATGCAATACATTTCTAGCAATTCATTGTGTCACGAATGTCACAATGTCTCTCAAAGAAATACCACAAAAGATCACTATTTTTTTAAAGACACTATTTTACATCACAGAATCTCTTAGGCCTTGTTTGGATCAAAGGAGGGGAGGGAAGGGGGGAGTCAAGGAGGGAAGGGAAGGGAGAAGGGGAAGAAAGGATTCTGATAAAAAATTGTGTTTGGTTGGAGGAAATAGGAGAAAAGTTTTATGAAATTATTTTCTTTATTAACCTTTATTTGATAGCTTATTTAAAAAGCTAGATACATCTAACTATTATGAATATTACTCCTAAGCTAGAAATTATTTTCTTTATTTACCTTTATTTTAATTTTTTAAATTTTTAAATATTTTATTTATTTTTATTTTGGTTTTTTTAACTTTTTATTTTTATTTTTTAATTTTTTAATTTTTTAATTTTTAAATTTTTTAATTTTTTAATTTTTTAATTTATAAATTATATGGATACACCATTTATTGAATGAAATCGGATTGAAGACACCAATACCTGCTAAGTTGTGGTGCGATAACCCAGTTGTTGTACACATAACAAACAACCCCATATTTCATGAGAGAACAAAACATATTGAGATTGATTGTCATTTTATTCGAGAGAAGATACAAAAAGGATTGATCTCTACCGAATATGTGAAGACCAGAGAACAACTTAGAGATTCGAGTTGATTACTTATGTAACAAGTTGGGCATGATAAATATTTATGCTCCAACTTGAGGGGGAGTGTGAAATATAATAGAATATACTTTAGAATATGTTTTAGAATATTTTAGTAATATACTCCAAGATATTATTATTGTATAGAATCTTATAGAAATATTCTATCTTTGTAATGTATATTTATAGGAGCTTAATCCTTCAATGAAATACACAAAAAATCATTTCCTCTCCAATATTATTTCTTAGTTTACATGCTGTATTTTGACAATAAAGATAAAAATATTCTCATTTGTAATTATTTTGTTGACTTTCTAACCTCTTATAGTATGTTAAATGGCAACATCTTTGACCGTGATTGGTTTCGAACCTATTACCTCCTCTTTAGGAGTGTCACAGACTGACACTGATACCATCGAACCATCTTATTTATAATAAATTAGTGATAATACATAACAAGTACAACAATAATAATATGGTTCTAAAATCTTAAATATACAACTATAAACAATATGTGTAAATGACAGTTATTATATCAACCAATTAAATTATATAAGTAACTTTCAATTATATTTAAATGATGTAGACATAATTGGAGAGTATGTAATAAGTAATATCAATAATCAATAATAAGTATTACTACGTAGTATTTTAATGATGATTGATAATATCAGTTATTAATTATAAAGCTTTAACAATTTGACTTAAATTTACTACTCCGTATAAACTAAAGTTAAACAAAGTATATATAGCTTAAAATGACAACAAAAAAAAAAGCAGAATAGTTAGTGTGGCGCAGCTGGAAACGTATCCAAATTGCTTGGTGATGGATGTAGGTTCGATCTTCGCATGCAACTTATGTTTTAAGCTATGGAGTGGGCGGGTTAGACGGGTTATTCTGGTTTGACCAGGTAATGTGCCGGGTTTCCGGACGGGCTGACAACAAACCAGTGGGCTTAAACGGGTTTGGACATATTTGCGGGTTATCCATAACCAGCCCGGTATTCTCAGCAGGTCGCCGGTTTCCGGGTCGACCCACCCGGGCCAGTTCGGGTCTGGTAACATAGGTTAGATGGATAACCATTAAAAGTTCCATGTGAAGCATCTCAGTGTGGAGTAGGGACTAGGGAGCATATTGAACTAAATAAATTATAAATTATGCTTATAATACACAATATCACAAGGCCAAATTCTGCTTCACGAAAAGGAAAACCCACTCCAGAGTTGAAGAATACCTATAGTTGTAGTTTTTCACAACGAAGTACAATGGTGGTCCAATTCTGAGATAGTCAGATATGTTACTAAAGTAACCCTGCATGAAAATAAACTTGCACCACTAAGCAACAGTGTTTGGCAATATATATGACATTGAGCATTAATAAAGATAGCCAGAATCAGCATATCAAACCTGGAGATATGAGTCCTGAGGAAGAACAATTTGTTGTTCCAAACCTGGCTCAATCCTTGCACATAATGCCTTTGAAGAAAGAAACATTATGAACAATTAAAATTATCACAAGAAAACTAGCATGATGTAAGAGTAGAATTGTAGACTGAAAGAGAAACAACTTACAATGCTTGCCATTGCAATAGCAGCGAATACGGATATGACACCTACTTTTACTCCCCACATACTTAAAATGCGGGCATGCACGTCCTAAAGTGAAAAATAACTTAGTTAATCAATAAAAAAAAGATTAAGAAGGAAAAGGTTCAACACTATTAGCTTTAAAACAAGTCCCCCATCCAAAGGAAAAACATTAATAATGATACCAATCATCATCACAATAATAGTCAAACGAAAAAACCAAGAAAACACTATGTTGTACTTTTGTAGTTTCAAAAGCTACTCCCAGGAAAAAACATTCAGAAAAAGTTTCACAATTATTTGAACAGCCTTTTTCCCTCCATTTTCCAAGAATTTATGGGTGTCGAGCAAAAGCTAAAAACTGCAGAAAAAATTATGTTGGTTTCTTTCCCTATGATCCTGTGGTAGCTATCTTGTTAATTACAAGGTTGCATCTAAGTTTTAGCAAAAAAAACAATGAGAGATATAATGAATCATACAACTTCTAGACTCAAATGGAAAGAAAGACATGTGATACTTATGAATATGTCCCACCTTCATATATCGAACCAGCAAACCAGGTTTTCTTTGTTGACTACCTATGGACCATACAATTTACAGTCAGACACAAAGTCTGGGATTGATAAAATTGAAGATATAAGAGGTGAATGTAGAAAAATTCCAAACTTCCCACAATACCTATATCATGATCAGAATTTGAATCAGAAACTTTAATACATGGAAAACAATCAATCCTGTTATCTTCTGCTCTCATAAAATCAAAGGCCATTAAGGAAACAAAAGCAGTCACTTGCAGGAGGAAGTCCAATAGAACAGCCAATGCTACAAAAATGAAAAGTATCACTGGGAGATTGACAAAAACAAATCAATGTATAACATCATTTATCAGATACGCCATAATACTTTGAGTAGAGCAGCTTCCTAACCGGAAAACATGGAAAACACACGGCAAGCTGGCATAGGAATGAAACTTCCTACTGCAAATGCCAAAACCTCTGCTAGACTAGCTAGTGTTATAGATGGACCTACTTCTACAAGAGCATAGCTCATTCGTGCTTCTAAAGGCAACTCCAATGACTGCCTTTTAACTGCATGCACCAATATGCACATATTATCCACCCCAACCTGCAATATATTATACCAAAGGTCAATGTTCTTGACATTTGACTTTTGAGAAAGTTGTACATTAAAATGCATTACCAAAACACATCAAAAGTTGAAGCAAAACTAAGTTGAGAAGATATTTTACTTGAAGGAGGAGATTCATGTTTTCAAATGCATCTAATGCATGACTTCAATTTTGATTCATTTTCAATTTAAATGTGGTATATTTTAATCAAAACAGATATTTAAAGATAAAAAACACAAATAGATCATACCGCCAACACAAGAAATGGGATAACTTCCAATATGATGAGGGTAGATTTTACTCCTATGGCACTGAAAAAACCAACTGATCCAAGAACAGAGAGCATGACAAGAACAATGCCAGAAAGGCCAAGCAACACCTGAAACAGAACCTTGCAGTTTATGGCATGAAATTTACAGTGTTACTTAATTGTCTAAATAACATTTATGCTAAGAGTTCATGCAAAACCGCACAGTGACACAGTTATACTTCAAATGTCTTTCCTGTTGCAACCTTCTAAAGAATGACTAATGAAGTGAAAATATAAAAAAGGGAAAACTGTCAAATAGGTCCTCGAACTTTCATAAAAAAGTCAATTAAGTCCTTCTATAGTAGACTCTGTCCGGTCGTCGCGATTTGGGGCGGTTCCCGATGGAATTTTTTGATGAAATTTTTTTAGCATCTTATTCATCAAGTCTAGTTTACTCATACCAAATTTCATCTAAAAATTTAATCGGGAGCGTATTCGAATTAATTCGAGAACGTAAAAATGTGCAGTTATCTTCAAGGATTAATTTGAATGTGTTCCCGATTGAATTTTTAGCTGAAATTTGGTATGAGTAAACTAGACTTGGTGAATAAGATGCTCAAAAAAATTCATCAAAAAATTCCACCGGAAACTGCCCCAAACCGCGACGGCCGGACAGAACCTCCTATAGAAGGACTTAATTGACCTTTTTATGAAAGTTTGAGGACCTATTTGACAGTTTTCCCTATAAAAAACAGCCATCACCATAAGTTAGTCATGTGATGGAGAATTGAAACTAGATGAGATAGTTGGTATAGTCATATCTCATGTGTATTGCAAAGAGGTACTCATGAATGGTTACTGAATTTCAACCATTACTCAAGATCAAATGGTAATGATCAAAAGTTGTCATGGCATCTGTCTTGGCACCAAGGCACTTTCCGTGCCGATGGCACATTTATGGCATTGCAACTTGACAAAAAAAAGTAACTACTCAAAGTATAAACTCTAAACAACATAAATCTATAAGCCAAAAAATAAGCAAAAGGGTTGAATGATCACACTCTAACCGAAATATGTCAAATTCAAATAGTCTAAAGTAGTTCCCAAGTAACTCAACATCCAAAACAGTTTCAAGTATTCCAATATATATCAACTTGTTATTCGTGTTCAATGAGTACGATCTGATCATCATCAATTATCACACTCCTTTAGTGAAAGTGTAGCTCCCCTTTAGTTGTTACCCTTTAGTTATTCCCCTTCAATTATCTGCAGCTTTCTCTGACAGAGACATTAGTTCTGCAGCTTCTCTACCTTCAATTCTACATTAGCTGGTTTCTATTTATGTCAGTTATAAGGGTTCTTTATTTATATTATGGGCAGGCTAATTGGTTAATTAGTGTAGAAAATGTTACATTATTGTAGAAAATGTTACATGATTTAATTTGGTGTACATACTTAGCCGAATAGATTAGAACACGTGCTGTTATTTAGAGAGAAGCTCGTAGTAATCAAGATCCTATTTTTTAGGATCTAAATTAGTTGATTAGTTGCTTGTACATCTGTATAAATATTCTGGCCGATTGGCATATTCAATCAAGGAAGTTTTATTCCTAAAACCTACATGGTATCATAGACTTGAATTTACACATTCAAATGGTGGAATTCGAACACTCTGACTCATCTCTCCATTCACATACCAGTAACCCCCATATTAGCTCCATGGCAAATTATCAGACCTCGGTTAATTCATCTATGCTCATCACTGGACATAGATTGAATGGTAGAAATTACCTAGAGTGGTCACAGTCTGTCAAATTAGCAATTGATGGCAAGGGCAAACTGGGATACCTAACTGGAGAGATCCAACAAAAGAAAATTGGTGAAGATGGCTACAGTGTCTGGAGGTCAGAAAACTCACTAGTGACAGCCTGGCTTCTCAGTTCAATGGATGCATCAATCACCAAATCTCCAGATCTGAGCATCTGCTTTGGATTTAAGTTTGGAGCCAACATTAGCCAAAGCTCATTGCGTATTTTATTCTCCCAAGCCCATAAACGGGAAAGTTGCCGTAAGTTAGTTCTATTTATTTGTTTAATGAATATCTCAATTTTATTTTAAAACCCAAAAAAAAAAAAAAAAAAAAAAATCAAAAAAAAAAGGAAAGAAAGAAATGTTTTGTACGGGTCAGTTTGACAGGGGAGTAATATGCAATTACTGCAAGAAGCCTGGACACTTGATCAAAGAATGTAGAAAATTGGCATTCAAAAATCAAGGAAAGTCGACTACTCATGTTGCTTCCGCTACCACTTCATCTGACGGATCAATTGCTATTCCTTCGGATGAATATGCCAAAGTTATGTGCTACAAAGAATCTCTAAAGCATTCCTTTGCTCCTACCTCGGTAGTCGCTAATTCAGGTATTCCAAACACATGTCTTTTTTCATCATCCTCGAAATGGGTCATTGACTCAGGTGCCACAGATCATATGACCGGTAATCCTAATCTTTTCTCATCGTTTAATTCATATTTACCTACTTCTAGTGTCACTTTAGCTGACGGGTCTACCTCACCAGTCCTCGGATCTGGTACTATTGTCCCAACTTCTACATTACCATTATCACCTGTTTTGAGTCTTCCTAATTTTGCATTTAATCTAATCTCCATCAGTAAAATCACGCGTACCCTTAATTGCTCTGTAACATTTTTTCCTGGATATTGTGTGTTTCAGGATCTGTTAACGAAGCAGACTATTGGTAAAGGGCATGAGTCGGCTGGTCTTTATATTTTGGATACATCAATCACAAAAGGTATCTCTTGTCTTGGGGTTGGAAATCTATTAGAAGCTCATTACCGATTAGGACACCCATCTCTCTCACTAATGAAGCAAATATATCGTCAGTTTAATAAGGTATCATCTATACAATGTGAGTCGTGTGAATTTGCAAAACATCATCGTACTAGTTTAAGTCCTCGACTTAATAAACGAGCAAATGCCCCGTTTGATCTTGTTCATACTGATGTTTGGGGGGCATGTCCTGTTGTGTCCAAATCTGGTTTCAAATATTTTGTTACATTTGTTGACGATTATTCTCGTATGACATGGTTATACTTTATGAAACGTCGATCAGAGTTATTTACTCATTTTTCTGCATTTTGTGCTGAAATTAAAACTCAATTTAATGTTCCTGTTCGTGTGTTGAGGGGAGACAATGCCCAAGAATATCTCTCTGCTCCATTTAAATCTTTTATGCTTCAAAATGGCATTATTCATCAAACCTCATGCGTAGACACGCCTCCTCAAAATGGAGTTGCTGAAAGAAAGAATCGACATCTGTTAGAAACTGCAAGGGCTCTTCTATTCCAAATGAATGTGCCTAAACAGTTTTGGGCGGATGCCGTGTCTACCGCATGTTTTTTGATAAACCGTATGCCGTCTTCTGTTTTAAATGGTAAAGCTCCTTATCACTGCTTATTTCCAAATAAAGAGCTTTTTCCTATCCCACCTAAAACATTTGGTTGCACTTGCTTTGTTAGAGACGTTAATCCTCATCTTACAAAGTTAGACCCCAAATCATTAAAATGTATTTTCTTGGGTTATTCTCGAGTTCAGAAGGGGTATAGATGTTTTTGTCCAAGTACTGGTCGGTATCTTGTTTCTATTGATGCATCATTTCATGAAAATACACCTTTTTCATCATCTAAGGCAGATATTCATGAGAGTAATGATGATATACTCATTTATACGATGACTATTCCCGAGCCCACACTTTCGACAAATATTCCACAAGTTACTGTTCCTGACCCTAGGCCTCCCGTACATTTGGTATACACCCGTCGACACAGAGCACCTAATCACCCTCCACCGGCGATACCTGTGATTACTTATCCTGATACTAGTTCGACTCCGATCTCATGTCCTGAACCAGTACCTGCATCTTCAGATCTTGTCCCCACATCAGATCTTGACCTCCCAATAGCACTACGTAAAGGTACACGGTCTTGTACTCATCCCATTTCTTCATTTGTGTCGTACAATCAGTTATCTCCTGCTTCATGTTCTTTTATTGCTTCCATTGATTCTATTTCTGTTCCCAAATCTGTCAAAGAAGCTTTGTCTCATCCTGAATGGCGTCATGCCATGGTAGAGGAAATGAATGCTTTAGATCTTAATGGTACTTGGGATTTGGTTGACTTGCCTACAGGGAAGAAATCTATTGGATGTAAGTGGGTCTTTGCTGTTAAGGTTAACCCAGACGGATCTGTTGCTCGGTTGAAAGCCCGATTAGTTGCGAAGGGTTATGCTCAAACCTATGGTGTTGATTATTCTGACACTTTTTCTCCTGTGGCTAAATTAACATCTGTCAGGTTACTTATTTCACTCGCTGCAACTCATGATTGGCACTTACATCAATTGGACATTAAAAATGCATTTTTACATGGTGACCTTAAGGAAGAAGTCTATATTGAGCAACCTCCGGGATTTGTTGCTCAGGGGGAGTATGGTAAAGTTTGTCGACTTCGCAAATCTCTTTATGGTCTGAAACAGAGTCCTCTTGCATGGTTTGGGAAATTCAGTCAATCAATTGAGCAATTTGGAATGATAAAAGGCAAATCAGATCACTCTGTCTTTTACAAACAAACAGAATCAGGTGTCACGTTGCTTGTGGTGTATGTTGATGATATTGTGATTACAGGGAGTGATAATGCAGGTATTTTGGCCCTTAAGAATTTTCTGCATAGTCAATTCCAGACGAAAGATCTTGGCTCTTTGAAATACTTTCTGGGAATTGAGGTAACACGAAGTAAGAAAGGCATATTTCTATCTCAACGGAAATATGTACTTGACTTACTAGCTGAGACAGGAAAATTAGGAGCAAAACCAAGTACAACACCCATGGTTCCTAACGTGCAACTCACTCAAGAAGGCACACCGTTTGAAGACCCAGAAAGATACAGAAGACTGGTTGGAAAGCTTAATTATCTCGCAGTCACTCGTCCAGATATTGCCTATTCTGTGAGTGTAGTGAGTCAATACATGTCATCTCCAACCATTGATCATTGGGCTGCTGTAGAACACATATTATGTTACTTAAAGGGTGCACCAGGACGTGGTATTGTTTATCAAAACCATGATCACATGAGAATAGAATGTTTTGCAGATGCTGATTGGGCCGGTTCTAAAGATGATCGAAGATCTACATCTGGTTACTGTGTCTTTGTTGGTGGTAATCTTGTATCTTGGAAGAGTAAGAAGCAGAATGTGGTTTCTCGTTCGAGTGCCGAATCAGAATATCGAGCTATGGCACAATCTGCATGTGAGATCATATGGATAAGCCATTTATTGACCGAGCTCGGACTGAAGACATCAATGCCTGCTAAATTGTGGTGTGATAACCAAGCTGCTATACACATAGCAAACAATCCTGTATTTCATGAGAGAACAAAGCATATTGAGGTCGATTGTCATTTTATTCGAGAGAAGATACAAAAAGGATTGATCTCTACAGGATATGTGAAGACTGGGGAACAACTTGGAGATTTGTTCACTAAAGCACTAAATGGAATTCGAGTTGGTTATTTATGTAACAAGTTGGGCATGATAGATATCTATGCTCCAACTTGAGGGGGAGTGTGAAAGTATATTAGAATATACTTTAGAATATGCTTTAGAATATACTAGGAATATACCATATATAGTATTATTGTATAGCATCTTTTATAGGAATATTCTATCTTTGTAATGTATATTTATAGGGTTTTACCCTTCAATGAAAAATACAGAAAATCCTTTCCATTTCTTAGTTGTTCATATGCTCTATTTCAACATGACTCAATGACAGGGAGTGAAAAAGGTAATACTTCTATTCATCTTGACCTTCCAATTTCCCTTAGAAAAGAAAAAAGAACATGGGTTAAATACCCCATCTCAAACCATGTTTCTTATTCTAAATTATCCTCATCCTTTGCAACTTTTACTTCTTGTGTTTCTTCTATTCCTATTCCTTCAACCATACAGGATGCTTTATCTAAACCTGAGTGGAAGAAAGCTATTTTGGAGGAGATGGAGGCTCTTGAAAAGAATCAGACATGGAAGCTTGTAAAGCTACTTAAAAACAAACTAACTGTTGGTTGCAGGTGGATCTTCACTCCTAAGTTTAAAGCAGATGGAAGTCTGGAGAGATATAAGGCAAGGTTAGTTCCTAAGGGATACACGCAGACCTATGGCATTGACTACACAGAAACCTTTGCACCAGTTGCAAAGTTGAACATTGTAAGAATTCTCTTATCCCTTGCTGCTAATTTGGACTGGCCTCTGCAACAATTGGATGTAAAGAATGCCTTTTTAAATGGGAAACTTGAAGAAGAAGTGTATATGAACCCTCCTCTTGGGTTTGAGAATAAATATGGTGCAAAGGTATGCAAACTGGAGAAAGCTCTATATGGACTTAAACAGTCTCCAAGAGCCTGGTTTGACAGATTCACAAAATTTGTAAAGAAACAAGGGTTTAATCAGGCTCAAGCTGATCATACATTGTTCATGAAGTTTTCAGGCAAGGGGGAGATTGCAATACTAATTGTCTATGTAGATGATATTATCCTCACAGGAAATTATCATAGAGAGACTAAGAATTTAAAAGAAAAGCTTGCCCATGAGTTTGAAGTTAAAGACCTAGGAGACTTAAAATACTTTCTGGGGATGGAGATAGCTAGATCAAAAAAGGGTATTGTTGTCTCACAAAGAAAGTATATCTTAGACCTTCTGCAGGAAACTGGAATGAGTGCATGCAAACCCGCAGACACTCCAATTGACCCAGGTCAGAAGTTGGGAGATATCAAGGAAGGAACTCCAGTTGATATTCACCAATATCAAAGATTGGTGGGAAGACTAATATATCTGGCACATACTAGGCCAGATATTGCATTTGCAGTAAGTATGGTGAGCCAGTTTATGCATAATCCTTTCCAGGAACATCTTGATGCTACTTACAGAATCTTAAGGTACCTGAAGAGCTGCCCAGGGAAAGGATTATTTTTCAAAAGGGGAGTCAGTAGGACAATTGAGGCCTATACTGATGCAGATTATGTTGGCTCAATACATGATAGAAGGTCTACTTCTGGATATTGTACCTATGTATGGGGAAATTTAGTAACTTGGAGAAGCAAGAAGCAAAATGTGGTTGCTAGAAGTAGTGCTGAATCAGAATTCAGATCTATGGCTAATGGAATATGTGAATTACTCTGGATTAAGAGAGTAATTACAGAACTGAAGATGGAGATGGAACTACCTATGAAGCTGTATTGTGATAACAAAGCGGCTATAAGCATTGCTCATAATCCTGTGCTACATGATCGAACTAAGCATATTGAAGTGGACAGACACTTTATTAAAGAGAAGATAGAAGCAGGAATTATTTGCACACCATTTGTATCCACCAAAGACCAAACAACTGATATCCTCACCAAAGGGTTGTTTAAACCTGTGTTCGAACTACTTAAAACCAAGTTGGGAATGTATGATATATATTCACCAACTTGAGGGGGAGTGTAGAAAATGTTACATTATTGTAGAAAATGTTACATGATTTAATTTGGTGTACATACTTAGCCGAATAGATTAAAACATGTGCTGTTATTTAGAGATAAGCTCGTAGTAATCAAGATCCTATTTTTTAGGATCTAAATTAGCTGATTAGTTGCTTGTATATCTGTATAAATATTCTGGCCGATTGGCATATTCAATCAAGGAAGTTTTATTCCTAAAACCTACAACTAGTAATCACGGCCAAAGCCCAACAATAATTAAAATGAACATGTTAAATCTGCTCCAAAAATATGGCGCATATGGTGTGGCGATGGTGATGGCGCCACCACATGCATAACGGTTGCCACCAAGAATTTGTGGCGAAGTCTTTCAGATGGCCAATGGCATTTTATGGCACGCGCCGTTTGTGCCATTGAAAACTATGGGAACAATCATTTAGGACCGCATTTAATTCTTTCACTAACTTTGGGAACATTTATTTTCCAATTATAAAAATCGTACTCATTGCAAAGTCCTCCTCGGTAAATGCAAATGGTTTGCATAAGATAAATACAGAGGTCATTGATGTACCTTAGATGATATATAACATGAAGAGAAGCGTGGACTATCCCCCAATGTCAAAGATATGTAGGCAAACATTACAAGATAACTTATCTGAAATAAGATAATCATAAATTGATATAGACATGTATATATAAATATGTAAGCATATATGTGCAAGTACAAAGTACATCAGACTATCAGAGACAATATATATCCCCCCCCCCCCCCCCCCCCCAATGAGCGCACACTCACAGCATAAAGAAAAAAATACGATGGCATTTAGAGTCTAAAAAGAACAATGATGCGAACCCCTTTATTCATGTCAAGTGAAAATTCAACTCACAATCAATAAACTGCAAAAATCAACATGAACCTATGGAGTGGCAAAGAAGGTCATACCACTATAGTTATAACATCAGCATTGGTTTCTCGTCTAAGTTCTTCCTCAATAGAGCTCTCTGATGAAAATGCCAGTGTCAAACCCTTCGATTGAACCATTGGCAGGATTTCATCCTGTTTACACATTAGAATTTATTCTGCTTTTTTTATAGAAGGTAAACTCATTCACATCCCAATAAAGTATTAATCTGGATCATTACATTTTACCCGGTAAAGATGTTTTTTTAAATATGCATTTATATTTTACTACTTTCATTATTGTAACTTAGCATGTTCTCCCAATCCACTGGAACACACAAAGTTGTCCTCAAAGGTATTCTTAAAACTAATAAATAGCACAAAAACAACTTTAAGGAAATCCTAACAATGTGTTATGTGTCAATATCTTTTGATGAGCATGTCACCAAATAAGGCAGCTGATGAATGATAGATAATGCAATAAAAAAGAAGCAGACCTTCACTAACTGGATGAATGCCTTCTCCCAGGCTACGTTTCTTTTTGTATCGTTGCTTTCTTTATCAATTGCATTATTCACAGGATACGTTACAATAAAAGCAGAAGCCTGCATCGCGGACAAAGTTCAAAACTGATATACAACTCACTCATTCATTCATGAGAAATGTAAAAAAGATTACCTCTGAGTAATTGTTACCAGAAAAGCCACCAAGAGCAGTACTTGGATCAAGGGGGGCTTTAAATGCACTCATACAATCCTCCGCAGAAGTATAGTGCTAAAGAAAACAACAAGGATTAAATCTCAGAGTTATATTTAATTGTGTAAGAGATAAGCTTTTGTTTAGTATCTTTATTTAATTTTTTAAAAATAAGCATATTACCTGAAAACAATACTGAAGGTGGTCAATACCCCCATACTCATCAAAATATGTAGCATTCATCTTGAAATACTACAAAGTACAAACCAAATAAGCTGAATCGTGTAACAAATAACAAGTCACATCGGAAAGACGGAGAAGACACATAGTAAGAAATTTCTATCTATATGAATGGGTCAAAAAGCTCTAACTATTAAGTTAAAAGATATGAGATCATGTGTCAAATTTGAGAAAAATGAAGTGGCAAACATACTGCTAAAAATGAAGCTTAAAATGGAATTAAAATATGCCAAACCAAATGACTACGACTATAAGAGACCAAATTCTGAACACAAGTATAACCAACAATATTTTATATTTGAATCCACCTGAGCAGTTAACAATAGAGAACTCTAAAAGTAAAGGAAGAGGATTCAGAGATTTCATAAAGTTCAGTATTTCATTTTATATTTACCATCATCTTCTTTTTGGCCAATCACTAAAAACGTGGAGGGGTTGTGTATACACTTCTGTGGAAACCCTAGTAGTATGGGCTTAGCCCATTTGTATATCTTGTATAGGAAACCCTAGTATACTCTAAATATAGCTATAAATATAGCTTCTTGTATAGCATTTTGATATCAAGAATATGAAATACAACAATACTTTCACATGGTATCAGAGCCACTATGGCTATTCTTAGTATAGTGCTATGATTTTTCTGGCGGCGTCATTTCCGGCGATATTCCGGCGTGAACAGTAGCGCGACTCTCAATTTAGTGCTTCCGGTAGTGATATTAACCCACCGCTGTGCTCAAGCTTCGTCGCGACTTACCGCCGGAGGAATCACCTGCGCCGCATCACCCACGCGCCGCCACGCATCGCTCAGGTCCGCACCTGCAGTTTTACATATTTCCAGATCTTTGTCTTTCTGTTCATCTGGCGTTGACACCTCCTATCACCGGACATTCCTGAGGTCCCGGCGACCTGAACGGCGTAGGTTACGTCGCCGCCGCCGATCTCACGCGCCGCCGCCGATCTCACGCGCCGCCGCCGATCTCACGCGCCGCTGCCGAACCTTCACGCCGCCCAGATCGGTCGTCGCCGCTGCTCTTTCCGCTCACCGCTGCCTTAGCCGCTCACCGCCCGCCGCCCGCCGTTCACAGTTCTTCTTGCTGGTTTGAAAACTTTCAGTGTTCTGCTTCTTGTTTGCTAGAGTACTCCGTATTTTCTTGCAGTAACTTTGAATTACTCATATTTAATTTTCTCTTTATTTATTTAAAAAAAAAAAAAAGGTAAAAAAAAAAAAAATGTCTTCTGGTTTTGCTTCATTTGCTTCAGTTCCTATTATTACAACGGACCGTTTGGTTGGAAGTGCTAATTATCAATCATGGGCCATTTCTGTGGAGATGTGGTTCAAAGGTCAAGGACAAATTGATCACTTGCTTACAGATGCCAATTCAGTCAAGGATAAGAAAACGGAATGGGAGAATATGGATGCACTGTTATGCAATGTTTTGTGGCAATCCATGGACTCCAAACTTCACCTTACATATCAATCATATCGGACGTGTAAACAGATTTGGGAGAAAGCCAAGTCTAATTACACTAACGATATTCAAAGTTTGTTTTCTTTCGGATCCAAAATTGCCACGCTCAAGCAACAAGAATTGGACATCCAGGATTTTCTAGGCCGGGCTGAGGCTTTACTCTTTGAGTATAATACCATTCAACCTATCACAGAAGATAGAGAGAAACAACTAGAACAACGCCAACAACTTGTTATGGTTTTAGCTTTGGCGGGTCTTCGCCCAGAGCTATTATCTATACGTGAACAAATTCTCTCTAGCTCTACTGTTCCCACTATGACAGACGCTTTTTCCCGAATTCTTCGTGCGGCCCCAATAACTGCTGAATTGGGTTCTACAGATTCTACCATTCTTGCATCACAAGGCGTGGGGTCCGACGGAGGAAACAACAAAGGATATTTGCGTCGAAACCGACCTAAATGTGATTACTGTCATAAGATTGGGCATACTAAAGATAGATGTTGGAAGTTACACGGGAGACCTCCTAGCTCAGCCACTGTTGCTCAGATTCCGCCATCTCCGGTTGTTCTACCTCCAGATGAATATGCTGCATATCAGAAATTTAAGTCTGCTCATGTGCCTTTATCTACACCTGGTACGTCTACCGCTTGTGTTTCAAACACCACAGGCTCATGGATCATTGACTCAGGTGCTTCAGACCATATTTCTGGTAATCCCCATCTTTTATCCCACATTACCAAGCACCAACACCTTCCTTTAATTACTTTGGCTAATGGCCATCAAACTTCGGCCACGGGTATTGGGCAAGCACTACCACTTTCATCCTTACCACTACATTCAGTCTTATATGTTCCTAATAGCCCTTTTAACCTTGTCTCTGTTAGTAAAATCACGCGTGCTCTTGATTGTTCTATAACCTTTTTTGCTGATTCTGTAACTGTGCAGGACCGTCGTTCGGGGAAGACGATTGGCGTCGGGCATGAATCTCAAGGCTTGTATCATCTTCATCCTGTTGATCCAATCGCTTGTGTCTCTGTTGAACCTGCATTAACGTTACATAACCGCTTGGGTCATCCTAGCCTCTCAAAGTTCCGACGTATGGTTCCAGGTTTCTCAAGCCTTTCGTCTTTAGATTGTGAGTCATGTCACCTTGGAAAGCAACCTCGTAAATCCTTTCCAAGGCGTGTTAATAAACGGGCTGCGTCCCCTTTTGATTTAGTTCATACAGATGTGTGGGGTCCGTATCGAGTCACTTCTACTTTAGCCTTTAGGATTTCGCTATTTTGTTATTTTTGTGGACGACTTTTCCCGTTACACATGGTTATTTTTAATGAAAGAACGTTCTGAATTATTCCATATTTTTCAGACTTTTTGTGCCGAAATCCACACTCAGTTTGGTCATTCTATCAAAGTCTTACGCAGTGATAATGCTAAAGAATTTTTTGCGGCACCCTTTAATCAATTCATGACATCACGGGGTATGCTTCATCAGTCTTCTTGTGTACACACACCTCAACAAAATGGGGTAGCTGAACGCAAGAACAGACACTTAGTTGATACTGCCCGTACTATGCTACTACATTCACATACACCACCTCAGTATTGGGCAGACGCTGTACTCACTGCGTGTTATTTAATAAATAGAATGCCTTCCTCGGTTATTGATAATGAAATTCCTTATTCTTTGTTGTTTCCTAGTCGTGAGTTATTTCCCTTACCACCTCATGTGTTTGGGTGTGTGTGTTTTGTCCATGATTTTACACCTGGATTATCTAAAATGTCAGCTAGGTCAATAAAATGCGTTTTTCTTGGATATTCACGAGTCCAAAAGGGTTATCGTTGTTATTCTCCATTACTTAAAAAGCATTTTATTTCGGCTGACGTCACTTTTATCGAGTCCTCCTTTTATTACCCATTATCTTCTGCTGATACTCCATCATGTTTGGACTTCGTCTCATATCTCCGGCCCATTCATACAGAAACGGTTATTTCTCCTCCATCTGATGAGCACCTCCACTGCCCTCCTGTGGTAGACCCTCCTCCATTACAGGTATACCATCGTCGTCCTCGACCTCCTGCCATTGAGCCTATCGTGGCCACGCCAGTTGATTCCCCTGTGACGGTTCATGCATCATCCCCATCAACTACCGCACCACCTGAAAACACTCTGGATGATTTGCCCATTGCCCTCCGAAAAGGTACACGTTCTACACTGAATCCACATCCCATATATAACTTTTTGAGTTATCACCGCCTCTCTAAACCGTACTATGCTTTTATTTCCCACCTGTCTCATATATGCATTCCTAAAACCACACATGAGGCACTGGCACACCCGGAGTGGCGTAAAGCCATGTTGGCTGAGATGGAGGCTCTCCATTCTAGTGGGACGTGGGACTTGGTCCCCCTACCCGCTGGAAAATCAGTGGTGGGATGCCGGTGGATTTACACGGTTAAAGTTGGGCCTGATGGGGAGATTGATCGTTTTAAGGCACGCCTTGTGGCAAAAGGGTATACTCAGATATATGGTTTGGATTACACTGACACTTTTTCTCCTGTAGCGAAGATTGCATCAGTTCGTTTGATTTTATCCATGGCAGCAATGAGCCGTTGGCCATTGTTCCAATTGGATATCAAAAACGCATTCCTTCACGGAGATCTACACGAGGAAGTTTATATGGAGCAACCACCTGGGTTTGTTGCTCAGGGGGAGTCTGGTATGGTGTGCAGGTTACGTCGTTCATTGTATGGCTTGAAGCAATCTCCACGTGCATGGTTTGGGAGGTTTAGTGCCGTTGTCTGCAGCTTTGGCATGATTCGCAGTGCTGTTGATCATTCTATATTCTACAGACATTCTGCTGACAACAAATGCATTTATCTTGTTGTGTATGTTGATGACATTGTCATTACAGGTAGCGATGATCAAGGAATTGTGCTCCTCAAACAACATCTCTTTAGCAAATTTCAAACAAAAGACTTGGGAAAGTTGAGATACTTCCTTGGCATTGAGGTCGCACAGTCTGAAAATGGAATTGCTCTCTCACAAAGAAAGTATGCCTTGGATATTCTTGAGGAAACAGGGTTGCTAGATTGCAGACCAGTGGATACACCAATGGATATAAACGTTAAACTCTTATCAGAACAGGGAGATCTTTTGCCCAACAAGGAAAAATATAGAAGACTTATTGGCAAATTAAATTATCTTACCATCACAAGACCAGATATTTCATTTGCGGTAAGTGTTCTTAGTCAGTTTCTTGATAAGCCATGTACTGGACATTGGGATGCAGCTATCCGAGTTTTGAGATACATCAAGAAAACTCCAGGGCAAGGATTGTTGTTTGAAAATCGAGGCCACCATGATATTGTGGGATACTGTGATGCAGACTGGGCCGGATGTCCGATGGATAGACGTTCCACTTCGGGATATTGCATCTTGATTGGTGGAAACTTAATTTCATGGAAAAGTAAGAAACAGGATGTGGTTGCCAGATCTAGTGCTGAAGCAGAATATCGTGCAATGGCCCTTGCTACATGTGAAATCTTATGGTTGAAGCATCTCCTCCAAGAGTTAAAATATGGCAACACTAAACCGGTTCAACTCATGTGTGATAATCAAGCCGCAATGCACATCGCATCAAATCCGGTATATCATGAGAGGACAAAACATATTGAAGTTGATTGTCATTTTATCCGAGAGAAGATCACAAGTGGACATATCATCACAAAATATGTGAACACAACTGGACAACTTGCAGATATTTTAACTAAGTCTCTTAGAGGTCCTAGAGTGGGATATATTTGTAACAAGCTTGGTACATATGATTTATATGCTCCAGCTTGAGGGGGAGTGTGGAAACCCTAGTAGTATGGGCTTAGCCCATTTGTATATCTTGTATAGGAAACCCTAGTATACTCTAAATATAGCTAGAAATATAGCTTCTTGTATAGCATTTTGATATCAAGAATATGAAATACAACAATACTTTCACAACTTCCATCATTACTAATTTAGAACTAAGCATCAAAGGTGACACTTTGAAACTTTCATAGATTTAGATGCATTCATGTATCCCTGACACCACAACACTTCACTCTTTTAAATCTGTAAGGACCAGAGAAAACTATAGTGCATGGACAATGCAGTAATTACCTGAAGAACACTTTGAGTAGCACAATCCTTGCCAAGGGGCTTCACACAAATGTCAGCTAGAGACACAATTGACTCAGAGTGTTTTGCTTTGACTGAGTCTACCTATTAAAATAGAGCAAAATTATATATGATGCACATAATTAAGAAAAGATGCATCATCATTGGAACTTGTAAAGTGTAGATTTTTTTACTTATTATTGCATATCTTTGATTCACCGCTAATATATTTACTAGGCGATATCTTAGAGATCTTAGAATCTTCAAATATCCCTTATTCTTAGGAGACTTTAATTAGTAGGATTCCTTCCTTATATTCCTACTTAGGTTGAATCTCTAGTTGTATATATATTGTAATCTTCTTCTCATATGGAATGATATAACAAAATTAGAACAGAGAACCCTTTCTCTATTTCTTCCAACTTACATGGTATAAGAGCGGTTGATTCTCTAATATGGTTAAGTTTGGATCCTATGGGATAACCACCGAGAGAGATGGATCTATCTCAGTCACCTATGAACATTCAGAGTCTATCCCAGCCACAGACGGCAAAAACAAGAATGTCAATGGGAGCACAATTACCATTCCTAACCATTCAGATTAAGTTATTACTTGCCATAAACTCAATGGCAGTAATTATCTACAATGGTCCCAGTTAGTGATGATGTATGTGTGTGCGAGAGTCAAGAAGGACTACTTAACGGGTGATGCACCTGCTCCGGATCAAAGATATTCAGTCTACAAGTGGAAGAAAGAGAACTATACTGTGTTAGAAACCTGCAGAATTGATTCTAACAGAACAATGGAGTGACTCAAGAACGTAAAGGCAACTTTATTTCTTAGGCAACAAGATAGAGGTACAACTCATATCTCCCACTACAGACTCCAGTCAAAAACAGCCTAACTACTACTCCCAGCCGTATACTATTTATAGTAAGGAAGTCTAACAACAGGTCGTTATTATTTACAACAGACTTAACTAATAACCGACCCTACTTCCTTCTAGAATATACTTTACTAAAATATTTAGCTCCTCTCTGCAGATTAGTAAAGTCTCTATCAAATCTCCCCTCCTGAAAATCCAACTTGCCCTCAAGTTGGAAAGTGGGAAATTGCTGTCTGATGTTATGTTCTGTCTCCCATGAGTCTTCAAACTCCGGAAGATCTCTCCAATGAATCAAAACTTCCTTTTCTCCTGCTGAATTTCTTCTGACCCCCTTTACTTCCTCTGGACACACCAATAATTCACAATCCTCAGTTAAACATTTAGGAAGATCTTAGCAGAAGCTTGCAGGTTTCAACTCCTTCTTCAAAAGGGATATATGAAAGATTGGATGGATCCTGCACCCTATAGGTAGCTGTAATTTGAAAGCCACAGGATTAATTTCTTCTAGGATCTCAAAGGGTCCATAGAACCTGGGACTCAATTTTTGATTAATTCTCCTGGCTAGACTCCTCATCTTGTAAGGCTGTATCTTCAAATACACCTTGTCACCAACCTGCAACTTCAACTCTCTTCTATGCCTGTCAGCTTGTTGCTTCATTAAATTCTGAGCCTGAGCCAAATGTTCTTTCAATTCTTTCAACATTTCATTTCTTTCTGCTGTCAGTCTTGATACTTCCTCCACAGATGATAGGCTGACATCTCCCCTGATAATTACAGGTGGGTCTTGACCAAATAGAGCCTTATAAGGAGTGTCTTGTAAGGATATATGATAATTTGTGTTATACCATAGTTCTGCTCATGGTAACCATTTAACCCACTTCTTGGGTTTCTTGCCAGTCATGCATCTCAAGTAAGTCTCTAAACAACGGTTGACTACTTCCGTTTGTCCATCACTTTGAGGATGATATGCAGTACTATACTTCAGTGTAGTACCAGCTGCCTTGAATAATTCTGACCAGAATGTGCTTAAGAAGAGGCTGTCTCTATCACTAACTATGGATCTGGGAAATCCATGTATTTTCACTACTTCTTTCATAAACAACTCAGCAACTTCCTTAGCATTATAGGGATGTGATAGAGGTATAAAATGAGCAAATTTTGATAACCTGTCAACCACTACCAAGATGGTATCTTTTCCAAAAGATTTAGGTAAACCTCCCACAAAATCCATACTGATATCAGTCCAAGTATGGGTAGGTATAGGTAAAGGCTGCAATAAACCTGCAGGTTTTAAAGACTGGTATTTGTTCCTCTGACATGTGTCACACCCTTGAACAAATCTTTGAACCTCAGATCTCATCCCCACCTAGTAGAATAGATTGGATATTCTTTTCATTGTCCTGAATTGCCCTGAATGTCCTCCCCATGCAGATTCATGATACTCTTTTAATATCTTTTCAATTCTGGCAGACCCTTTTGGTATTACCAACCTCCCTTTGAAGTATAGCAATCCACCTTTGATCATAAAATTCCTCACCTTGTCTGGTTGAGTTAAAACCTTCTGAATTATACCACCACACCATGAATCCTTCTCCAATTCTTGCTCCAGTCCTTTCCACTCTTGACAAGTCACTATGGATAAGGAAAACATAGTCATCTTCCTAGAAAGAGCATCAGTTGCACCATTCTCCATTCCTGGTCTGTATTTGATGACAAACGTATAACCCATCAGCTTAGTGATCCATTTCTGTTGGTCCTCTCCCATAATCCTTTGCTCAGTAAGGTATTTTAGGCTCCTTTGGTCTGTTATCACCTCAAACTGTCTACCCAAAAGGTAGGGTCTCCATTTTTGGATAGCAAAAACTATTGCCATAAGTTCCTTCTCATAGACTGACTTCATTTGGTGTTTGGCAGATAGTTCTTTACTCATATAAGCTAGGGGCCTTCCTTCCTGCATCAACCCAGCCCCCACACCCTTTCAGGAAGCATCAGTTTCTACAGTAAAGGTCTTACTGAAATCAGGAGTTCTTAGTACTGGTAGGGTTGTCATGGTCAATTTCAACTCTTCAAATGCTCTTCTAGCCTCATCATCCCATCTGAATCCATCCTTCTTCAGTAACTGAGTTAAAGGAGCAACAATTTTTCTATACCCCTTGACAAATCTCCTATAGTAGCCAGTCAACCCCAGAAAACCTCTCAAACCCTTTAGATCTTGTGGTTCCTTCCAATCCTTCATGGCTACTATTTTTCTTGGATCTGCAGATACCCCATCTTCAGAAATGATATGCCCAAGGTAAGATAACTGTTGTTGGCCAAAAGAACACTTTTTCCTATTAGCCACCAGCTTATTCTCCTTCAGTGCTAGGATCTGCTTCAAGTGTCCCTTGTGTTCCTCTAAAGTTTTGATGTACACTAGTATGTCATCAAAAAATACTAATGCAAATTTCCTTAGGAAAGGCCTTAGGACCTCATTCATTAAAGCTTGAAAGGTAGATGGTGCATTGGTTAACCCGAAGGGCATTACTAAATATTCGTAGTGTCCTTCATGGGTTCTAAATGCAGTTTTATGTGTGTCCTCAGCCTTCATGCGGATTTGGTGATAACCAGATTTCAAATCTAACTTGGAAAATACTTTAGCCCCATCTAATTCATCAAGTAAACTCTTCAATTACGGGAATTGGGAACTTATCAGGCACTGTAATCTTATTTAATGCTCTGTAATCCCCACAGAAACGCCAACCTCCATCCTTCTTTCTGGTTAACAGAATGGGACTACTGTAGGAGCTAATATTGTTCTTTATTATACCAGAATTGAGCATTTCCTTAACAATTCTTTCTATTTCATTCTTTTGGTCATAGGAGTACCTGTATGGTCTTATATTTGGGATGCTTGAGCCTTCTTTGATATTGATGGAATGATCACAGGCTCTCTTTGGTGGAAAATCCAATTCAGCTTTGAATACTTCTGGAAATTCCTTCAATATCTCCTCCCAGTCTATGTTCCCAGTCTGCTGTTGTTCTTGCCCTAGCTGCTCTTGTTGTTTTACCTCACAATAAAGCAAATAACCATCCCCTATTTGCTGAATGATCTGTGTCATGGTTTTTAAAGGCACTTCCATTTTATTAAGGTTTATGTCTCCCTTAATACTGCATTCATGTCCTTTATTGTTCCACCTTAGGATCTGTTTATGGAAATTTACTTCCATATTTCCCAATTTAGTGAGCCAGTCTAATCCCAGAACTACATCAGTCTCTCCTAGATCCAATATGTAGAAGATTTCATGGATTTCATTCCCTTGCACCATCAATGTGATCCCTACACATCTGCCTTTATTGTATATGATTTCACCATTACCTATTTGCACCTTATACCCCTCTATAGGTTTGAAAGGTATGTCCTATTGGTTCACCAATCTCTGGATATAAAGTTGTGGTTGGCCCCACTGTCAATCAGTATTTTGACCTCCTTCTCTTCCACAGCCCATTTCAATTTTCCCAGAACCTTGAAGGTTCTCATAGAGGGAATGCCCTCCTTGCTGAGTACAGATAGTTGCATAGATTTCAGTTCAGGTTGGATATTATCTTCTCCTTCAGTACCACTGTAATTAGCTTCATTTTCTGGTTCTTCCTCAGATTGTTCCATCAAAACCATCTGAAAGTTTTTCATCCTGCAAACGTGTCCCCGATTCCAGTTTTCTCCACATTTGAAGCATAACCCTTTTTTGCTCCTATCCATCAGTTCATTTTGTGATAATCTGGCGCCAAATTTTCTGGAACTAGAACCTTCACCACTGTCTCTTGTTTTGTTGTCATCTGCATTCCTCCCATAGGTATGAGTAATTACAGGATTACTACTACACTTGATTCCATCCCCAGTTTTCTGAAAATTACTTCCCTTGATACCAAGGCTCTTCCAAGATCTTTTTACTTCTTCCTTCTGCTTCCTGGACAGTATTTCTTCATTCTTATCCTCAATCAATTGTGCTTTATCCATGATTTTCTCCAGGTTCTTGGTCTTATACAGCTTCAGTTCCGCCTTTATCTCCTTCTTTAACCCATTCAAGAATATTCCTCTCATCACTTTTCTGTCCAAATCTTCTTGAGAAGCAATAGCAGTTTCGAACTGTTCTCTGTACTCCTGTACCGAATTCTTTTGTTTCAGACTCAACAGAGGCCCTAAAGGATTTTGAATTAACTCCGGTTGAAATCTTCGAATCAGTGCTTTTCTCAATTTTTCCCAATTCTTTCCCTTAGCTTGTTTCTCCCACCATTGGATCCATCCGAGGGCCTTACCTTCCATGGCGACAACTGCAACCTCACATTTATCTTCCTCTTCAACACTATTGAGTCGGAAATACCTGTCGATTCTGACAAGCCATCCAAACGCGTCTTCTCCATTGAATTACGGTAGGTCAACCTTCCTGTGAATCTGATGGTGATGTCGATGTCGATGCGGAGGAGATAGCTCAATTTGACCTTCCGATTCCTCAGAACTGTCACTCGATGGCGTCGATTGATGACGCGATGAATGACGCGATGCGTGTGAAGTATGCGATGTGTGCGACCTGCTACGCGATCGTCTCTCTCCTCGCGCTTCCAATCTGGCGATAGCTGCCTGAAGCGCGGTAAACATCGTTTCCATCTTCTCATCCAATTCATTCATCCTCGATTCCATCTTTGTTCTCGTCAATACCATCCACAAAGATCGGCGTCTCTGATACCAATGTTAGAAACCTGCAGAATTGATTCTAACAGAACAATGGAGTGACTCAAGAACGTAAAGGCAACTTTATTTCTTAGGCAACAAGATAGAGGTACAACTCATATCTCCCACTACAGACTCCAGTCAAAAACAGCCTAACTACTACTCCCAGCTGTATACTATTTATAGTAAGGAAGTCTAACAACAGGTCGTTATTATTTACAACAGACTTAACTAATAACCGACCCTACTTCCTTCTAGAATATACTTTACTAAAGTATTTAGCTCCTCTCTGCAGATTAGTAAAGTCTCTATCATACTGTAATGTCATGGCTCATCAATTCCATGACAACTAATATAGGGGAAAATTTCCTGCTACACAAAACAGCTCAAGAGATTTGGGAGGTTGTGAGAGAAACCTACTCAACTTCATATAATACTTTTGAATTATTTGAGGTTGAATCAAGGCAGCATATCCTCCGGTAGGGAGAATTGAGTGTAACTCAATACTTCAACAATCTTCAAAGACTCTAGAAGCATCTTAATGTATTTGAGACATACATGTGGTCATGTTCTAAGGATATGAAACTATATCAGGAGATCAGTGAGAGGAAGAGAGTACTCAAGTTTCTGCTAGGCTTGGACAAAAGTATAGATGAGGTTAGGGGTAGAATAACGGGGGAAAGCCTTTTCTCATACTCAAGCTTGGACATACAACTGGTCATGTTCTAAGGATATGAAACTATATCAGGAGATCTGTGAGAGGAAGAGAGTACTCAAGTTTCTGCTAGGCTTGGGCAAAAGTCTAGATGAGTTTAGGGGTAGAATAATGGGAAAGGAGTCTTTTCTCACACAGAGAAGCCCTTTCAGAAGTAAGAAGAGAAGAGAGTAAGAAGAAGGTAATGATGGCCTAAAAGATCACGACCAATAACAAGGTATGGAAGGTTTCAGCTTTGTTAACCTCTTCCAGAGATGATGAATATAAGAAAAAGGGGAGGTCATTGTGTGATCACGGTAAGAAACCAGGTTACACCAAAGAGACATGCTTGAATTTGAATGGTAAACCTAAAGATTTCAAATCTAGCGAAGGGAAAGGAGCATATGTAGCTATTGGAGATAAGGAAGAAAATGGCGCCTCTAACTCACCTGTGTTTACCAACGAGCAGATTGAAGTCCTTCAACACTTGATAAGTCAGAGTAAAGGGTTAACACCACCAACTAGCTTGACTGCTCAAACAGGTAACACCCTAACAACCTTAGTTGCACAAAATCAGCCCTATTGGATTGTTGATGCAGGGGCATCAAATCATATGACTGGAGATAGTAAGTTATGTGCTGAATTTGTTCTTATGAAAGGTGATGTGACTTTGAAGATTGCTGATGGAACTACTTCGGTGATTAAAGGGACTGGCAAAGTGAAAATTTCTGATAAGCTTGGTTTTAAAAGGCATGAGGCGGCTTGAGACGATTTCATCGAGCTACCCGAGGCGCGAGGCGCTAGGCGATGAGGCGCTCGCCTCACAGATCTCAACCACATTTCTTTGGTGAAATATTTTTATAGTACTTCTACACGAAGCACTCTTCTCAAAAATACTTCAAACTATTAAACAATCTTAATAAACATCATAAGAGAAACAAATATTTATTAAAGACGATAAGACAGAAGCAAGAATTCCAAATATATACGTACTGTTTATGTAAAATCAATGTACTGTTAAACTACTTTTGTTATATAGGCTATTTTAACAATTATTTTTTCATCCTTTTAATGTACGTTAAATTATAAAGTATTATCATTGAGTAAAGGGTCAGTTTGGTCCTCGAAGTTGCAAAAAAGGCGTCAAATAAGTCCTTATATAGAAGATTCTGTCCGGGCGTGCCATTTGAGGTGGCTCCCAATGGAATTTTTTGATAAATTTTTTTGAGCATCTTATTTATTAAGACTAGTTTAGTCATATCAAATTTCAGCTAAAAATTCAATTGGGAAGACATTCAAATGAATTCTTGAAGATAACTGCGCTTTTAACGGCACAGTTATCTTCAAGAATTCATTTGAATGTCTTCCCGATTGAATTTTTATCTGAAATTTGGTATGAGTAAACTAGACTTAATGAATAAGATGCTCGAAAATTTTCATCAAAAACATCCACCGGGAGCCACCTCAAATGGCACGTCCGGACAGAATCTTCTATATAAGGACTTATTTGACTCCTTTTTTGCAACTTTGAGGACCAAATTGACTCTTATCCCTATTATCATTGTTATGTAATAAACTATAAAAATAATACATGTTTAATTAATAAATTATCACGCAAAAGGCATTTTGTACACTGTAGCAGACTGATTTGGAAATTTAAATAATTTTATTAATTTTATAAACTTAAAAACTTAAGATATTTAAACTTTTTTCAATTATCTATCAAAACTTATAAATAGCAAAAGATAATACAGAGTAATATGTATCAGTTATCTAACTTTTTATTTAAATACCTTTCAAAAAAATACTTTTTATTTACATATTTAAATAATTTTATATATATAACAACTTAAAATAAAAGAAAATAAATAGCAGAAGAAAAAAGAAAAGTAAATAGTTAAATACTTACCTCTACGACTCAAGATAGCAGAGAAAGGAACCGGTTGGAAGACTCTGAACTTCTACGCGAAATACAGGGGAAGAAAAGGACTGACCTAACGCAGAAGGCAGAAGGCGGGAATGAAGGAGAAGACTATAGAGGAGTTTCATGGAGTGAGGAGTGAGGACCTGCGAAAATTCTAGGAGAGAGCATCTGAATCGGCAAAAAAAACTTGGAATGGGAATCGTAAAATAAACTCCATCGGGCACTAACCATGAGGCGCTAAAAGCGCGCGCCTCTCAGACGCGCAAAAGGCGTCGATTAAGCGCCGCCTCCGGGAATCTGCTCCGCCTGGGGAATTCAAATGCGATGAACCTATCGCCTTAAGTCGCCTAGCGCCTTTTAGCGCCTCAGGCGCGCTTTTTTAAACCAAGCTGATAAGATCGTTCTTAACAATAAGTTATATGTCCCACATTTCAAATTTAATCTATTACTCCCTCCGTCTCTTAAACGTTTGCCAACTTTCCTTTTTCGGATGTCCCACACTAACTTTGTCACTTTACCTTTTAAGTAAATAACTTGTGGTTCCAGTTAATTCTCTCTCCTTTGCACAAATCTCAACCACACAGTTTTTACTTTATTAATCCTCATGCCGGTCAAACTTGTCAATGTTTTAAGGGACGGAGGGAGTATCAGTTAGTAAATTGAACAATGATACACATTGCCTAACTAAATTCTTCTTTCAATTATGTGAATTTCAGAGTTGTATTCGAGAAGGATGATTGGCAGTGCAAAGCAAAGTGGTGGGCTACATCTTCTCTCACACTAACCACATCCTACCAACAAGACAATTTCCCACCAACAATACAATCTTCACCATAAGTCCTTAGTGAGTCTTAGTAAGAGTCAATTTGATAATCAAATTAAGTTATGGCATTATCGTCTTGGTCATCCTAGTTAGGGTTGTTAACGAGCCCGAACATCCAAAGCTCGAGTTTGGCTCGATAAGGAATTAGTGGTGTTCGGGTTCGAGCTTGAGCTCGCGAGCTTACAAATGAGGCTCGTGTTCGGCTTGATGGGCATTCGATGTTTGAACCGAGCGCTCGATAAGCTCGATAAATATGCCCGAGTTTAAAATTTTAGGTGATGCTCGTTAATAGGCCCGTGCTCGAATGATTCGTCAAGTATTCGGTTCGTTAATAATCATATTTAAATTTATAAAATCATACTAATTATATTTAAATTTTGACATATATATAAATTATATTTATAATTTCAGAGTGTTCGATGGGCTCGAGTTCGAACCCGAACACCACTAAAGCGTTTACATCGCTTGCAGTAAACCTAGACTAGCCGTTACATCAACTAGATGTTAAGAATGCTTTTCTTAATGAAGACCTGGAAGAGGAAGTATTCATGGATGTACCACCAAGATTGGAAGACTTGGTAAAATCTGGCCAAGTTTGTGAACTCAAGAAGTCTTTGTACGGGCTAAAGCAGTCGCCTAGAGTGTGGTTTGATAGATTTACAAGATCGGTGCTTAAGCAAGGGTTTAGGAAATGTCAAGCAGACCATACATTGTTTACAAAGTGGATAGACTCTAGTAAAATGGCTATACTTATAGTATATGTTGATAATATTATTATGACTAGGGATTATAACGTTGAAATGGACAAGCTGAAGGCTCACCTAGCAAGAGAGTTGGAGATCTAGGAGCTAACCTGGTGGTGTTTGTGTCATAATATAACCCCTTCTTAATGTATGGGTGTATGGCTGTAAATAGACACGTTTAAAAAGAAACAAAACAACATATAAAATACCTTGTTTTGTATATCAAAAAGTAACAAGATGTTTTCTTGTGTGATGATAGTTGGACGTTTTCCACTCTCTGCATCAGGATTGGTTGCTATTATGAGCTGCAATATTGGTATGGTGTTAGTATGTCTATTCAATCATCAAATGTAGTATTAAATGCCTGATAAGAAAATGATAGATGCACTCTCATTGCCAAGAAATAGGGGAAACTGTAGGCTTGGAAACTTTGAAATGAACATACTGTTACAAAATGGCTTACCAGTTACCACAAGTCCACAACTAAAATAAAATATATGTACAGTGACAAAAATATAATCAGCAGGTTAAGACAATATTAAAAAGTAAGAAGAAAATTATTCAAATATATAACCTGTTCGATTCTGTAAAATGGAGCTAGGTGACTGTCAAAAAACGTCTTCTCTTTTGCAGCTCTACTTCCATGGCCAACCCATAGCTACAGCAGTTTCAGAGTTAAATACTTCAAGCCACTAAGTGCTAATAATACTTAAGTTTTAACTCCGTGCTGACAGCTTCACAAACACTTCAACCCATCATCATAGATGAATGTGCAAGTGAAAAGATTACAGTGCACTCAAATAATAGGTACAACAGAAATTACCACAGGTGACAAGAATAAAGAAATGAAGAAACTCAGCAAAACTAGAGTAATGCATTTACGTTCCTAAATATGATATTGGAGCTGGCAGTGTCTGCCAAACTGGCAATAACTCCCTGTAGTAACCTAGTAACCTTCAATTCATAAGTTATTCAATGCCTTCGACATTGGAACTGGAGCTCCAAAGTTTTTTGTGGGTATTTTGTAGGAATAGATCATCAAGTATTCAATGATACACGTTCCACCAAAATCAGTCCAAAGACAGGAAATAAGGATTCAGGAAGCTCAATTTTACTTTCTATCACTACCCATAAATTATGTTCTATGCCCATCAAGGTTTGAAATTGCGCAATAGAGTCCCGCAATGAGGCGCGCCTCACTGATATCTGGTATTCTAGTTGATTATAGTTGATAATAAAATGCTATACAAGTAACTCTATTTATTGCTACATTAGAGCATTAGGGTTTCTATACTTAAATGGGACAAGCCCAATACAACTCTGATTTTCACACACCCCTCAAGTTGGGGCATATAAATCATATGTACCAAGCTTCTTACAAAGATACTCCACTCTGAAATCTCTAAGAGACTTCGTAAAAACATCTGCCAGTTGATCCGTTGTGTTGACATAATTTGTGAAAATATGTCCAACTGTGATCTTTCCTCGAATAAAAAGGCAATCAACTTCAATGTGTTTAGACCTCTCATGATATACAAGATTTGATGCAATGTACATTGCAGCTTGATTGTCAAACAATAATTGAACCGGTTTTTTGCTTCTATATTTTAGTTCTTGGAGGAGATGCTTCAGTCATAAGATTTCAGATCTACTAAGGGCCATCGCACGGTACTTTGCCTCAGCAGTGCATCTAGCAACCACATCTTGTTTCTTACTCTTCCAAGACATTAGATTTTGTTACGGGCGAGGTTGGGAGATAAAAAAGAAGAACGATAAGTGTTGAAATATAAACTACAAAATATAATATTGAAGAGAGGAGGAAAGATTTTCTGTATATTTCATTGAAGGGTAAGGCCCTATAAATATAGATTACAAAGATAGAATATTCCTATAAAAGATGCTATACAATAATACTATATATGGTATATTCCTAATATATTCTAAAGCATATTCTAAAGTATATTCTAATATACTTTCACACTCCCCCTCAAGTTGGAGCATAGATATTTATCATGCCCAACTTGTTACATAAATAACCAACTCGAATTCCATTTAGTGCTTTAGTGAACAAATCTCCAAGTTGTTCCCCAGTCTTCACATATCCTGTAGAGATCAATCCTTTTTGTATCTTCTCTCGAATAAAATGACAATCGACCTCAATATGCTTTGTTCTCTCATGAAATACAGGATTGTTTGCTATGTGTATAGCAGCTTGGTTATCACACCACAATTTAACAGGCATTGATGTCTTCAGTCCGAGCTCGGTCAATAAATGGCTTATCCATATGATCTCACATGCAGATTGTGCCATAGCTCGATATTCTGATTCAGCACTGGAACGAGAAACCACATTCTGCTTCTTACTCTTCCAAGATACAAGATTACCACCAACAAAGACACAATAACCAGACGTAGATCTTCGATCATCTTTAGAACCGGCCCAATCAGCATCTGAAAAACATTCTATTCTCATGTGATCATGGTTTTGATAAACAATACCTCGTCCTGGTGCACCCTTTAAGTAACATAATATGTGTTCTACTGCAGCCCAATGATCAATGGTTGGAGATGATATGTATTGACTCACTACACTCACAGAATAGGCAATATCTGGACGAGTGACTGCGAGATAATTAAGCTTTCCAACCAGTCTTCTATATCTTTCTGGGTCTTCAAACGGTGTGCCTTCTTGAGTGAGTTGCACGTTGGGAACCATGGGTGTTGTACTTGGTTTTGCCCCTAATTTCCCTGTCTCAGCTAGTAAGTCAAGTACATATTTACGTTGAGATAGAAATATGCCTTTCTTACTTCGTGTTACCTCAATTCCCAGAAAGTATTTCAAAGAGCCAAGATCTTTCGTCTGGAATTGACTATGCAGAAAATTCTTAAGGGTCAAAATACCTGCATTATCACTCCCTGTAATCACAATATCATCAACATACACCACAAGCAATGTGACACCTGATTCTGTTTGTTTGTAAAAGACAGAGTGATCTGATTTGCCTTTTATCATTCCAAACTGTTCAATTGATTGACTGAATTTTCCAAACCATGCACGAGGACTCTGTTTCAGACCATAAAGAGATTTGTGAAGTCGACAAACTTTACCATACTCCCCCTGAGCAACAAATCCCGGAGGTTGCTCAATATAGACTTCTTCCTTAAGGTCACCATGCAAAAATGCATTTTTAATGTCCAACTGATGTAAGTGCCAATCATGAGTTGCAGCGAGTAAAATAAGTAACCTGACAGATGTTAATTTAGCAACAGGAGAAAAAGTGTCAGAATAATCAACACCATAGGTTTGAGCATAACCCTTCACAACTAATCGGGCTTTCAACCGAGCAACAGATTCGTCTGGGTTAACCTTAACAGCAAAGACCCACTTACATCCAATAGATTTCTTCCCTGCAGGCAAGTCAACCAAATCCCAAGTACCATTAAGATCTAAAGCATTCATTTCCTCTACCATGGCATGACGCCATTCAGGATGAGACAAAGCTTCTTTGACAGATTTGGGAACAGAAATAGAATCAATGGAAGCAATAAAAGAACATGAAGCAGGAGATAACTGATTGTACGACACAAATGAAGAAATAGGATGAGTACAAGACCGTGTACCTTTACGTAGTGCTATTGGGAGGTCAAGATCTAATGTAGAGACAAGATCTGAAGATGCAGGTACTGGTTCAGGACATGAGATCGGAGTTGAACTAGTATCAGGATAAGTAATCACAGGTATCGCCGGTGGAGGGTGATCAGGTGCTTTGTGTGGACGGGTGTATACCAAATGTACGGGAGGCCTAGGGTCAGGAACAGTAACTTGTGGAATATTTGTCGATAGTGTGGACTCAGGAATAGTCATCGTGTAAATGAGTATATCATCATTACTCTCATGAATATCTGCCTTAGATGATGAAAAAGGTGTATTTTCATGAAATGATGCATCAATAGAAACAAGATACCGACCAGTACTCGGACAAAAACATCTATACCCCTTTTGGACTCGAGAATAACCCAAGAAAATACATTTTAATGATTTGGGATCTAACTTTGTAAGATGAGGATTAACATCTCTAACAAAACAAGTGCAACCAAATATTTTAGGTGGGATAGGAAAAAGCTCTTTGTTTGGAAATAGACAATGATAAGGAGCTTTACCATTCAAAACAGAAGATGGCATTCGATTTATCAAAAAACATGCAGTAGACACGGCATCTGCCCAAAACTGTTTAGGCACATTCATTTGGAATAGAAGAGACCTTGCAGTTTCTAACAGATGTCGATTCTGTCGTTCTGCAACTCCATTTTGAGGTGTGTCAACGCATGAAGTTTGATGAATAATGCCATGTTGAAGCATAAATGACTTAAATGTAACAGATAGATATTCCTGGGCATTGTCTCCTCTTAACACCCGAACAGGAACGTTGAACTGAGTTTTAATTTCAGCACAAAAGGAAGAAAAATGAGTGAACAACTCAGATCGACGTTTCATGAAATACAACCATGTCATACGAGAATAGTCATCAACAAAGGTAACAAAATATTTAAAACCAGCTTTAGACACAACCGGGCAAGCACCCCAAACATCAGAGTGAACAAGGTCAAATGAAGCATTTGCTCGTTTATTAACTCGCGGGCTTAGGCTAGTCGATGGTGTTTCGCAAATTGACATGACTCACATTGTAAAGAGGTCATCTTATTAAATTGGGGATTTATTTGCTTCATTAATGAGAGAGATGGATGTCCTAATCGGTAATGAGCATCTAACAAAGTCCCAACCCCAAAACAAGAGATACCTTTTGTGATGGATGTATCCAAAATATAAAGACCAGCTGACTCATGTCCTTTACCAATAATCTGCTTCGTTAACAGATCCTGAAACACACAATATCCAGGAAAAAATGTTACAGAACAAGTAAGAGTACGAGTGATTTTACTGATGGAAAGCAGATTAAATGCAAAATTAGGAAGACTCAAAACAGGTGATAATGGTAATGTAGAGGTTGGAACAACAGTACTAGATCCAAGAACGGGTGAGGTAGATCCATCAGCTAAAGTGACACTAGAAGTAGGTAAATATGAATGAAATGACGAGAATAGACTAGGATTACCGGTCATATGATCTGTGGCACCTGAGTCAATGACCCATTTCGAGGATGATGAAACAAGACATGTGTTTGAAATACCTGAATTAGCAACTACCGAAGTAGGGACAGAGGAATGCTTTAGAGATTCTTGGTAGCAAATAAATTTGGCGTACTCGTCTGAAGAAATGGCAATTGATCCATCAGATGAGCTGGTAGCGGAAGCAACATGAGCTGACTGATTTCCTTGATTTTTGAACAGCAAGTTTCTGCATTCTTTAATCAAGTGCCCGGGCTTCTTGCAGTAATTGCATACTACTCCTCTGTCAAATTGATCCGTACAAGACATTTTTTTGTGTAATGAGAATGTAATGAAGTTCAAAAAATGAGAAAACTTACGGCAGCCCGTTTGTGGACTGGACCTTAGAGAATAAAAGATCCAATTTACTTAGGCTTTGACTCAGACAGAAGTCCGATTCCAGACCCCCAAGGAATAAACGAAAGAGCCTGCGTATCCTCAGGGACGTATAAACGAATAAACGATATCTGCATATGTCCACAAATATCCGAT